TTTTTCTTCATATAATCCATGTTGCCATACTAAGAACTATACAGTTGAAATTTTTCATTTTTCTTTTTAAAGTGTTTCGATTAGAAGCAGAAATATGCTTTGGATGTGGAACTGGTGGATTGCTTTTTTTCTTGCTGCTTTTATTGCCTGGTCTACATTAATACCATTGTCATGCTTCCCACAGAATATGTCAGGTAAGTATAAGTATATAATTTCTTAAATTGAAAGGCAGTAGTCATCCCATCTTCATCTCACATTGTCAGAGCACAGCAAAACTATAATAATGGGTTACGAGTTGGGTTGCTAACCACAAGTTCCTCAGTATGAATTTACGTGTGGCTTCACAAGAGAAATGTGAGACTTTCTACTTCCATAAAGATGAATTTTCTTTGTTGTTGTTAAGTGTTGTTGAGTTGGTTCCGATTCATAGTGACCTTGAATATGGTTTTTGAAGAGAGGCTGGTGAGTCCGTACTGCTGACATTGCAGTTCTTACCAACCTTGAGGTGTAGTGCTCATCCTTTAGTGCCACACCAGAACTCCATAAAGATTTATAACCTTGGAAAATCCTATATAGGGTCGCTGTGAGCCAGAACTGACTCCACAGTATACAATCATCACCACTATGCCCCTTCTAACTTAAGTGGTCTGTCATGGGGATACAGTGCCATGCTCTAGGGTTATTTGAAAAAATGATGCAGTTATTGCAGCCAAGTATTACTTTATTTAAAAAGCAGGGTTTCATTAGTACATATGTTTGTTTCTCATTATTTTCTTATAAAATAAAAATGATTTGTATCTAGAGTATTAAAGTTCTTTTAAAATGCAAAGCATATTTAAATCAATTTGTTGACTCCACACCCTCTTCTGAATCTGGCTTGAACCTCTGGAAGTTCTCTGTCAGTGTATGATTGCAGCTGTTTCTCTATTACCTTTAGTAAAACTTTACTCACATGGGATATCCAAGAGATTGTCCAATGACTTCCGCATTCCATTGTGTCACCTCTCTTTGAAACGGGCACAAATACGGCTCTCTTCCAATCAGTTGGCCAGATAGTTGGTCTTCCAAATTTCTTGGCATAGATGAGTGAGTGCTTCCTGTACTGCCTCACTTTGTAGAAAGATTTCAATTTTTATTCCATCAATTCCTAGTGCCTTGTTCTTTGCCAATTCCTTCAATGCACCTTGGACTTCTCTTGATCATATGCTACCGCTTGCAATGATTGAACATTAACCATATCCTTTTGGTACAGTGACTCTGTGTATTCAGTCCATCTTCTCTTGATGCTGTCTGCATCATTTAATAATTTTCCCAGAGAATCTTTCAATAACAAAAGTTGAGGCCTGAATTTTTTCTTCAATTCCCCCAGCTTGAGAAATGCTGAGTATGTTCTCTTCCTTTTTGGTTTTCTGACTACAGATATTTGCACATTTTGTTGTAATATTTGGCTTTATCTTCTGGAGCTAACCTTTGAATTTTCTGTTAAGCTCTTGTACCTTCTCATTTCTTCCATTTGCTTTAGCATCTCTATGCTGGAAAGCAAGTTTTAATGTCTCTTCTGACATCCAATTTGACCTTTTCCTTCTTTCTTGTGTTCTCAGTGACTTTTTGCTTTCTTCATGTATGATGTTCTTGATGTCATCCCACAACTTTTCTGGTCTTCAGTCATTAGTGTTTAATGTATCAAATATGTTCTTCAGATGGTCTCTAAATTCAGGTAGGATATAGTCAAGGTCGTACTTTGGCTCTTGGTGACTTATTTTCATTTTCTTCAGCTTCAGTTTGAATTTGCATATGAACAATTGATGGTCTGTTCCAAAGTCTGCCCCTGGCCTTGTTTTGACTGATGATACGGAGCTTTCCCATCATCTATTTCTGTAGATGTAGTCAGTTTGATTTCTATGTATTCCATCTGGTGAGGTAAATGTGTATAGTCGTCTCTTACGCTGTCTAAAGAAGGTGTTTAAAATGAACAAATCATTGATTTTGCAGAATTCTATCTTGCGATCTCCAGCATCGTTTCTATAGCCAAGTCCATATTTTCCAACTAGTGATCCTTTCTCTTTGCTCCCATCCTTGGCATTCCAATCACCAGTAATGATATAAGACATATTTAAATGAATTTACCTAGCATTATTTTATGCACATGTTGGTTGTTTGGTTGGTTTTGTACTGTGGATTTGGTAGGGTTTCTGAGGCTGTAAATCTTTATGTGAGCAGTAAGCCTCCTCATCTTTCTCCCACGGAACCACTGGTAGTTTCAAACTGCTTGCTTTGAGGTTAGCAGCCCAACTCGTAAGCACTATGCTACCATAGGTTCTTTTATACACACATAACCACATAAAAATTATTTTAATATAAAGATAACTATTAAAATTCTTTTGGAAACACTAAAATTACATTTAAAGTCAGAGAAATCTTAGAAAGTCTCGTAAAGATGAGGCTTTCTGCTCCCGTAAAAATTTACAGCCCCAGAAACCCTATGCTGGGTCACTGAGTTGGAACCGACTCCCCGGCACATAACAACAACAACCACAACAAAGATTTACAGTCTTGGAAACCCTATACAGGGTCGTTATGACTTGGAACGGACTCTACAGCACATCATCACCACCACAACCATGCCATATTTGTACATAGAATAGTGTACATCTCAGTAAACTTTCACAAACTAAACAAATTAATGTAATAAGTGCTTAAATTTTAAATTGGAGTGCTGGTGTGGCACTGTGGGTTAATGTACTGGACTGCAAAGTAGGTTTGAACCACAAGGTTGGCAGTTCAAGCTCACCATTCGGTCCTCAGAAACTCTATACAGGGTCAATATGGGTCAGATTTGACTAAACAGCACTTAACAACAATGATATCGTGAAGTCCTTGTGGGGCGCTGTAAAATAAGTACTGGACCACAAAGTTCATTTGAATTGCAAGATTGGCTGTTCAAACAGCAGCACTTTGAAAATTCTATACAGGATCGCTATGAATCAGAATTGACTTGATGGAACTGAATACCAACAACAAGAAGAAATTATACCATATTTTATTTGCAGGAAATATGTTTTATAATATCAAAGATTATTATTCTATATTCAAGAACTGTTGTATTGAATAAAATAGACACTAGTCACATGTGGCTATTTAAATTTTATATTACATAAAAGGAAATAATAATTTGATCAATCATAGTAACTATATTGCAAGAATTCAATAGCTACGTGTAAGTATAAAGTTATTATGCTGGTCATGTATGAAACATTTTCATTATTACAGAAAGTTATTTTAGATAGTATTATTTTAGAGGAATGAGTCTTTTAATTAATTGAATTGACTTTAGTTTGTTACAAAAGTACTTAACTTGCCATGCCAGAACAAGCTGGGTTGATGTGTGTGTGTATGAGGGGACTTCAAAAGTTTCATGGAAAATGGAACTAGCAGATAATGCATTTTTTTTCACAAATTTTTGAAGTCTCCATGTATGCTCATATATATGTCTTAACTATTTGAATGAATCATATGATGTTTTGACTTGTTTTTATACAGGTTCAACAAAGAAAAAAGCTGAAAAACGTAAACATCCTGATTGGAATTATAGCAATGTTGAGCATCAGGACTATGGAACTAACATCAAGGATTTGATTGCTTCTATTTTGGTAAAGTAAAATATTTTCCAGTGACAAATCAATAAAGTTGACTTGGATAGTGTTTTAATATTGGCTTTAAGATAATAACCATAAAGTGGATGGAACTTTAAAATTTTTTGATTAACCACTTCATTTTACAGATAAGGGAAAACAGGGCCCAAATTATCTAAGTGACATTGGCAAGAACTTGGCTAGTGTCAGAATATTGTTCTTTCCTGATTGATTTTCATTTTATTTTGTGTGTGTGCGTGTGTTTTCTCTGCATTAAATAAAGAATTTAATGAGATGACATGCAGGTTTCAAAATTATCTCGTTCACTATGTTCAAAAGAGTTAGAAGAGAATTTTAGATGTTAAGTAATATTCCCACAACTATTGTATTTCATACAAAATATCTCAAGCTCAAATGGAAAAGAACTCTGTACTTCTGTATGTGAGAAACAAGGCCTGCAATACAAAAAATATTGTTGTTGTTGTTGTTGTCGCGTGGGTTCCAATTCATGGCAACTCTGTGTAGTGTTTCTGAGGAGCAAGCAACTGGTGGGTTTAAATTGTCAACCTGATGATTCACATCCAGTGTTGATTCTACAGTGTTGCACAAGGAGTCTGCAATCAGATATGTTGTTAAGTGCCGTCAAATAGGTTCTGACTCATAGTGAGCCTGTATAGGGTTTCCAAGTAGTGACTGATGAACTTGAACCACCAACCTACGGTTCAAACCGACCTTGCAGTCCAGAGCAATAGCCCACAGAGCCACAACAGGACTCCATACAGATATAGTGCAGTAAAAATAAAAACCTAACTTCTAAATAGTGATCCTATTTTCAGTTTGCTTTCTCTTCTCCCATTTATAACTTCACCGTTTATGTTGCTTGCAGACTTTCATTTAACAAATGTAGATCTTATCAAGTCATTTTTCAGATTACATGGGGTATGAGTTTCATACTCTCTTACCGAGATTTTGAGGACCCTTTAAAATAATATTAATTAAACAAACTCATTTCCTCAGAATCTTGTCTCTATCTCCTCTACATTCTAGTCATTTGCTCTTTCTTGATCACTTATGTAGATGTGAAATACTGTATCTTGGTATATACAAATTTCTCTGTTTCAAATATATTGCTTTCTCCTATCCATTCCAGAAAAATTTCTGTCAAATTTTACTTTACATTCCTAGAAGAAAATTAGTTTTACCCTTTGAAATGATTTTATAGATGTTTGTTCCAATATATATATATA